AAAAAAAAACAATGTTAGGATGACGCTTCAAGGTATTTAGAATCCAAACTCTTTAAAAAGTTACCTGGGAATCATTAAGATATTTGCTTGAGTCCTCTTTCCCCTCCACCTCCATCTCCATTTACAAGGGTCAGCTGCCTAAATTCTCTCTTTGCCTCTACTGTGCGTTCCCAGTGTGATTTTTTTTTTTAATACTTATAGTACGTATGAATCCCCAAAAGAAGTAAATGTACCAAAATCCTGATGTTGATGATCTCTGGGTAGTTTGAATGTGAATAATTTTTGGTTTTTTATTTATTCCCCCCCCCCCAAAATTTTCAACACTAAACGAAGGAGGGAGTTTGGAAGGTGATCTTATTAGCTGGGCACATTGCAATCATGACTAAATTGGGACTGGGATGGTAAGAGAAAAGGGAATAGTATGGTTCCTAGGTCACCAACTGCCACCATTTAAACAAAGTCATCCTTGTGTCCCTAATCTCCTCCTTTTGTGCCATCGCCCTGGGGTTGGGTGTAGAAGAGATGTTTTTGTGCTGGGCAGCAGAGGGAGGGGCGGGGGCTGGATCCCCACTCCTCTGAGGATGCTGGTGGGGCAGGACCCTGCAGGTGATAGCCTCGTAAGAGTTTGCGACCAACACGTATATTGTATATTGCGCCTCAGAGAAAGGACAGTCCTTCTGTGGCTTGTGACCCGCTGGCTTCTAGACATGGGATCCACTAGGGGTCTTCTGGTTCCAATCACGAGGAAGTTGGCTGCAGCTAGTTGAGGGGTTTTTCTCATCCCCCTGCGTGGTCATTGAAGAGCCGCATGTCTAATCCAAGGTGGCCAGCAGAGGGCGCAGATGTACACAGAAATTCAATCCATTTGTCCGCAAAGGTTCCAGAGAGAATGAAGGTTCAGCCTTCCCTGGGGCTCTCTGCCTCAGTTTCTAATCAGTATAACAGGAGAAATAACAACTAGACCTCATTTTTGTGGGGTGTGATAGGTAATAAGAATGACAGCTATCATCTACTGAATTTTACCTTGGGCCAGGCATGCGCTCAAAGCTTTAGCACATTTCATCTTAGATTCTTCCACTGACCCTATGAGGCGGCTACTACTAACTGCCTTTAACAGATGAGGAGACTGAGGCATATAGGGTTAAGAAACTTGCCCGAGTCCACATAGCTGGTACATGGTGGGGGCAGACGTTGAATCCGCACCCACTGACTCCAAGGCCCACGATCAATAAGGGTCGGATAAATTGGAATCTGAGTTTACATGGTATATCACAGTCCCACCGGGCCAGTTAAAAGAGTGCTCCGGCCTCTGCTGGCTCATACCTTCTCATGGGCTGTGATTCTTGACCTGGGTGCTCTTTGTAGTTTGGAGGTCTGGAGGAGGTGTACATGGTCTCCCTGTTGGCCCATCAGACCCCTGTTTGCCAGTTATCTGAATAGATGGTGCTAGGGTCCCTGTGGAAAGCAGAGGGGTGAGGTCAGCCTGGAGAGGTCGAGCCTTCTGGCCGAAGTCGCAGCACCCAGAAAGAGCTGATTACAGTGACACTGGGACAGAGAACAGCACCTGGGCAGTCATAGAGCCACCAAGCTGGGTGCCATTTTGTGTGAACTAATACCGTGGCCAAGAATCAAACAGTGCAGAATGGCCTTAAAAATGTCTGCTCTCTCCCCTGGGCTTGGGACCAAAGGTGAGCATAGCAAAACTTCCTTCAAAACTACAAGGCCTAGCTTTTTGATATTTTGTCTGTTGGGGTGTTCATTCATTCATTCTTTCGGCGGAGGGTCTGGTTTCTTTTGCACATAAACCCATAGTAAATTTGGGATCAATTCCTACCCCTGATGCCCCTTTTAGGACAGACACATGCATATATAGAGATGGAAGCTCGTGGCTGTGTGTACATAGAGCCTCTTACATAGGCTGATCTCCTGGGTGGATGTTTCTTTTTAATTTCTGCAATACTTTCTCCCTCACAAACATTCTTACCCAGGCTAACAGCCCTTCCATTCAGCACAGGGGTCGTGAGGGAAGATGAAATATTAACTCTGCCATTAGCTCAGATAAAAAAGTAAGTGGTAAATAAATTTACGGCAGACTCGGCGCACCCCAGCTTAATAAAAATGACCCGGGAGGTCATCCACAAAACCCCCCTTTGGTGATTGTGCAGACTGTGTCTAGGTTTGAAGCATGAGGCACAGGGGAAAGGCAGATTTATGACTGTCCGATGTGCCAATGCTGTCTATGAAGGAGCATCGTTAATCCTCAAGAACAACAGATGCTTTTGATTCCTACTATATTAAATAAGCAGATATAAGATTAATGGCAGTATACTGAGCATTGCTCACTGGGCTTAATAATAGAGCCACTCAGTCATTTTTGAGAGGATGCTGGCTTGCATTTGAGGTGCCTGGAGAATAAGAAGGAACGCAAAGTTTATAGTGACGATGTTTGCTCTCATGCTAAAACCATCATAAATGGTGAGCTCATCGACTGCTCTAAATTTGAAAAAGTTCTCTCTGCCCTCCTCTCTCTTTTGATGTTTATCACATCCTATGAAATAGGTTACTTTCTAGTTTTTTTCTTTAAAAATGTTATTCTTCTCCCCTTTCACCAACAGCAATCCATGTTTGCTGTAGAAACATCAGAAAATATATGAACGTAAAAAGGCAGTGAAAATAACCAGAATCCCATCACAATTAACCGTTATTCACAAACAGTTCAATATTTGCCCTTAAAGTCCTTTTCTTCAGTCTTAAGCCTGTAAGACTGAAAAAAGAATATATATTCTTTATGTGTATATATATTTCCCTTTCTAATAGATTGTGAACATCCTTCCATGTCATTAGTCTTCTGCGACATCCTTTTTAATGTTCGCATAGAATTCCATTTTATGGACATTCCACCATTTTTATTAACATCCATCATTTGACACCATATACAAGACTGCAATCAACACCCTCTGACTATGTGTGTGTACATCTCCACGATCCCTTTATCAGGATAAATTCTTGGACATTAATACCTGGTACAAGTGGCACGTACAAAGCTGAGTACAAATCACCCTCCAGACAAATGTTCCAGTCTCCAACCCCACTGCAGGCATGTGCAGGGCCCTTTCCTGCAGCCTCCCTCCACCTGGACCCCCTCCCCATGCTCCACGTAGGAAAACGGAAGCCCAGAGCAATCCAGGGACGAGGCCAAGTTCCGACAGCTACTTTGGGCTTGAACGTAAGTTTCCGAATTCCAAGTCTGGAACTGTCTCTCCACAACAGGAACCCCAACCCTGTGTCCCTCCATGTTCTCCATGCACCTCAAGGGCAAGCTGACACCTTCAGGCCACATCCCTCGGTCTACCTCTCATTTTAGCCACAGCTGGGGGAGAAGTTCTGAGTCACATCCTGCCTTCACCAGGCCCAGATATGCTTGGGGGTGACCTGAGTATGGACAGGGGCACAATAACCAGCCCTAGGGGGCTGTGCTGTCCAGCTGGGACCAGGTTGGCAGCCACTGGAGGGCATTAGAGCCGATGACGCTGGTGCCCTGCCCGTCTCCCCTGCACCCAACAGGGGACGGGAGCAGGTGCATCAATGCCCGGTCCCCCTGTCCTCTGGCAGGATAGCCCTGAGGTGTGGACCCCACAGTTTCCTAGAGCAACTCAAGCAGGACTGTGGCCCAGTTCCCTTTGTAGTTAATTTGCTCACTCACACATTCATTCTTCAGGAGCTTTTCTCCCTTTTTTCACACTTCCTCCATCTTCTGACTTAGTGTTCCTGGGCTCACTTTCCGTAGAAATCCCTGCACCCAAGTGCTTGTCTGAGGGCCTTCTTCTGGTGACTCCCCCACTAGGGCAGTCCCATTGCCTCTCCTTCAACATTCCTGCGTCAGAGTCTGCTAGACCGCTAGAACAAATTAACCCCAAGATGCTTTCCTCAAATACAGTATGAGTGTGTGCCTCTCACGCAACCATCCAGAGCAGGCCTTCCCTGGTAAGTGTGGGTGTTCAGCGGGAAAGGGGGACCTGCTCCAGCCAGAACCTCTGCCATGACACCCTGTGACCCCCAGGAGGTGCTGGTTGTCAACAGCTGGGAACGGAGGAAGGCAGGGGTGGGGGGGGGTGGCAGCCCCAGAGGGGGCGCAAATGACTTCCACTCCTGGTCCCTTTGGCTGCTCTCCGGATGTGGCAGAGAGGACCTAGGCTCATGGAAGACTGGAACCCCTAACCGGAAGAGCTGCTGGTCAGCCACGGACTGGCTCCCCTTCATGCCTGGGAGCGGGGGCGGAGAAGACATTCCGGGGAACAACCAGCAGTCTCTGCCACATCCCCTCAAATCCGCTTCAGAAACAAGAGTAAATAAAAAACCAAACTGCTGTTTATATAAGTTTCTACTTAAAACACATGACATTATCTTAGGACTTTTTTTTTTAATCTTATGACTTTTAAAAAAAAATTAATGGGGCGCCTGGGTGGCTCAGTCAGTTGGGTCACCGACTCTTGGTTTCAGCTCAGGTCGTGATCTCAGGGTCATGAGATTGAGCCCCGCATCGGGCTCCCCGCTCAGTGCGGAGTCTGTTTCTCTCTCTCTCTCTCTCTCTCTCCCTCTGCCACAGCCCCCCACACCGCCTTCTCTCTTTCTCTCAAGTGAATAAATAAATCTGAAAATAATTTTAGGCCAACAGGGGATCGGACACCTGCTCTGCAGAGATGAGCTGCTGCAAGTCTCCCTGTCACTGTCGCATGCCTGCTCAGTGCTCATCACCACCGGCTTCTCCACACACTTCAACCACCAGCCCCCGGAAGAGACGGACGGCCCTCCAGGAGCCACGGCCCTGGCCGCCTTCCTGCAGGCCTTGGGGAAGGGGGTCTCCATGATCGTTGACCGGAGAGCCTTGAGTTTGTTCGAGAGGCTTGTGGAAGAAGCTATTGAGCAAGGTGAGGAGTGAGATGAAGATAGTCCATTTCCCCCAAACGGGCCTTTGAGGGCAGAGGCTGTGGGGCTGGGGGGGCGGGGGCCGGGGTGTATGCCCTGGACAGGGGGCGTTTTCCTTCCTGTTCGAAACTTCTCTGGTATCAGCAGCATTAGCCCCATCTTATGGATGAAGAGGCTGAGTCTCTGAGGGGTCCAGGTGAGTTGCCTGGGTGGGAATGGTGAGCTCGAGTTCGAACCCGGGTCCTCCAGGCTCCAGAGCCCAGGGTCCTGCTGTGCATCTGCTCCCCTCCCTGTGTGACCTGCAGGGGACTCAGCAACCCAGGCCAGCCCTGGACCCCACCCCCCGACCCTCCGGGGTTGGAGGTGTGATAGTCGAAACCAGAGGTGGCAGTGTCCCTCCCGGGCCAGCTAGGCGGGGATGCCCCGCGCCGCACAGGCTCCTGGAGCACGCAGGTGCCTAAGAGCTGCAGGTGACGCTGGCGTGAGGCCGTGCCGCTGTCTGCGTGCCAGGATCGGCTGGGGTGCACTGTGAGCAGCGGCTCTTCACCTCTCCTCTTTCCACTAGGGTTGTGCGGGCATTGGCGCGGAGCTGGGTACTCTGACCTACTTCCCGTTGCCTATGTCTCTGTGTCCCTGAAAATGCATTTCGGGGTTTCTTCAAAGCTGTGCAAAACCACTCAGTCCACAAGTAAGGGGACTGATGTCTCCGGGAGCCCCTCAACCAGGGGGGCACAGGGCACAGGAGCCTTGCCTCTTGTCTTTCAGAGACAGGCAGGTCCCCGTGGAACTGGGACCCCACTGCCTGGAACAGTGACCTCAGAAGTGCACATCCCCTCCTGTTGGTTTTTCCTCCTTCCTGCCCTCACTTTCTGCCCCTCCCACCTGCCCCCTGGGGTCGTCTCCCAAATAAACCACCTGCACCCGAGTCTTTGTGTCAGATTCTGGTTTCAGAGAACCCCAAACCGATGAACGGTGCGGGTGGAGGTTTCAAGAAGTAGACAGCTCTGTCTGTGTTTTGAAGGGAGAGTCATGATTCCGGGTGGATTGGACGCAGGCGTGAGGCAGGGGATGATGATGGCTGCACAGTTCGGGCAGGGTGTCGGAGAGGGCGCAGCTGCCGGGGGCCCACACCGCGGAGACGCTGCTCCTGGGAACATCCAACAGTGTGGCCGCTGTGGAAACCAGTGTGGCGGTTCCTCAAAAAATGTAGAAAATCGCCCATGATTCAGCAATCCCACTTCTGGGTATCTACCCCGAAAGAACCGAAAGTAGGGACGCAAACAGACACTTGCCCATCCGCGTTCGCAGCAGCGTTATTCACCAGAGACAAGCCAAGGGTCTGTCCGCAGATGAACCGATAAACAAAATGCAGTATAGACAGACAACGGAATATGTCCTTCAGCCTTAAAAAGGAAGGAAATTCTGACTGATGGATGAACCTGGAAGAAATCATGCTGAGTGAAATAAGCCGGTCACAAAGGACAAAATACTGTAGGACTCCACTTACACAAGGGATCGAGAGCAACTACTGTCATAGGGACAGAAGGAAGAACGGTGGTTCTGGGGGCTGGGGGGCTAGGGAGTGTTTATTAGGGACAGAATTCCAGTTGGGGAAGATGAGAAAGTTCTGGAGACATATGGTGGTGCTTGTGGCACTGCAGTGTGAACGTACTCAACGCCAGAGACCTGTACGCTTAGAAATGGCTAAGGAAGTAAAAGTCACATTATGTATTTTACCACAATTATAATTTTTTAGAAAAATTTAAAAGAGTGCAGGTCTGAGCCTCGGTGTGAGCAATCTGTTAGCCACACAAGTGGAGATGTCAAGTAGACAGATCTACGAGTCAAGTTCAGGAGAGCCGTCTGGGCTGGAAAGAGAAATTGGAGACCGGTTGGCATATTGATGGCATTTTAAGTCCAGACACAGGGTGAGATCACCCAGGGAATAAGAGACAGAGAGAAGGTCCCGGGATTACACCCTGGGATGCTCCACATTGAAAGGTCAAGGAGGAGAGGGGGAGCCACCAGGGAGGCCGGGAAGGAACTGCACAGAGGACCAAGGGACACCGAAGGACCATGTTGTGAACAAGGAGGACGGGTGGGCCACAGTCCCAGCCGCTACCAACAGGCTGGCAGCCTCCCCCATCTGACAAGTGGCTTGGATATTTTTAGCTGCCCACTTTCCCAGAGGCAGCTCTGCCCTCGCAGCTCACCTGCTGGCCTGGCTCAGAGGCTCCAGCTGCTTGGGAGCTCGGAACTGGGGCTCACCCACGGGGCGGTTTAGAAGGTAGCATCTGCTCTATTCGATTTTGCAGAACTTTTGTGACATGTGGACGAAGAAAGGGAAAGAGATTTGGCCTTTTAATGAAAATTAGTTCAGTTCTATTTATAACCAAAGACCGCACATGTTTAAAGAAGATAAAGCTTAGTCATTTCTTCCTTGTCTTGAGCGTAAATGGACCAAATAGATAAATTGGTTCTTTGCAGCTCAGGTGCGGGTTCATATCTTTCCCTGACGTTCCTTTGCAGAGATTCTTTCTCTCTGTGTGCCCCTCTGGGGGGCTATGTTAGGTTCCCTGCCCTGTTTGGCTCCCCGGTGCCCCTTCTTACTAGTATCCTGTATCCTTGATCCAATGTCAGGAAGTAAGAAAGCACCAGCCTTAACTTAGCACCTACTACATGCAAGACCCCCAGCTCAGTGTTTGGCCCATATCACATCATTGTACCCACAGCAATCCTGGGTCAAGGGAGATATGACTAACCCCATTTTGCAGAGGAGGAAACCACAGCTAAGGGAGTTTCTGTGGTTTGTCCAAGGTTACACAGCTAGGAATGTTGTTTGGTTGTAGTCAGTCCCCTTGCTGGGTCACCAGGCTGATCCTTACAGCACAGAAAGGGGCTGGGTCTTTCAGCTTGTTGTGACCACAACCCCCACCCCACCCCACCCCCATCCCCTGGCTTGTCCCATGTAGAATGTGCTCGGTGAGTATCCCTTGATGGACTGACTGTCCTCTCCTTGTCTCTCCCCCTTAGACATGGGGTGGGACTGGGGAGGGATGTTGGAGGGAGCCACACTGGGGGTCCCTTAGGGTCTCTGCCAATGATTCTGGCTTCTCTGCCCACTGAGGGAGGGGGGTGGTGGCAGCTCCCAAAGGGCTTGGGACAGCCATATGGTGAAGTTGAGGTGGGAAGCAGCCACATTTATAAAACAAGCATGTGGTTTTAACATGGACAGGGTGCTTACTTGGGCTGGGTTTATGTGACGTGTGTGAGGGGCTAATGATGGAGATTATGGCAGCCCCTCTGGTCCCCAGAGTGGCCCGGGGGGTCCTGCAGAACCAGTGGGACCGTAAGTGCTAGGTCCATCCCTGTCGCAGGCCCCCTGTTCGCCATCTCAAGCTCTGCGTGGAGATCTCATCCTGGGCCAGTGAATGCACAAGCATTCTACCTCCACCTGCTAGGAGGTGGATTCATTAACGACAACCAAGTCACTTTTATTTTAATTTGGGATTTGTGTGTGCTTCCCACATATCCTACGTTAACGCGTATTATTATTGTAATTAGAGAAGGTGCTATTTTTGAGAGTCAAAATCACTTTGGCAATCACTCCAATACCAGTAGCTAATTCCACACCCAGACTCTGGGACCTCTTCACTGTTGTTCTAGAACTTCCCTGAAGGTATGCAGGGAGGGGAGGAGGGGGGGAGCAGATGAGAACTTGGGGTGGAAACTGGGGTCATAACACTGACCTCCATCCTTGGCTTCACCTGACTTACAAAGCACCTCTGAGCCTCAGTTTTCCTTTTCTGTAAAATGGGGTTAATAATGGTTCTTATCACATAGAATTGTTGTGACAAGTGAGAGCATCCATGTCAGGTGCTTAGCAGAGGGCTAGCTCCCCGTCACCATGGGCGCCACGTGTCCCCAGCACTCACGATGGCAGTGAGCCAGAATAGGCCTCCGTTCACGGGGTCTCATGGACATCTACAGGCAGCGTATTTGCTAGCCCCCAATAGTGGTGACACTAGCCCAATTCCATGCCACTCAGGGTCACACACTCTACCAACCGAGGGTTTACTAAGGACTATAAGTAAACAAGTATTCTCATTCTCGTGTTGAGGTCTCGGCTTTCCTAACAAAGTATTCGACAGGTAGGTAATGATAGTGATAGTTTCCAAAGAAGCTTCTGAAAAGCCAACATGAATTTCCAAAATGCAACACGAGGGCTGATGTGTCAACCCTTTGCCTTTATTTTCAAGGTGTTCTGAAGACACCGATCCCCTTATTAACTTTCCAAGGTGAATCAGCAGGAGCCGCTCAGGCATTTCTCTGCAAAGATGCGGACCCCAAGTCACCGAGGTATGTGCATCCCACCCCAGCGTAAGCGGGTGATGGTGGAAAAGCCCACGCTCTGTTCACTTTGCTGACTCCAGGGAGAACAGAGCCATGTGCCCAGGGGTTCTGACAGGCCAGGCTGCTGGGTTTCAAGGAGTCCTGGGGGCTTCACAAAGCATTTCTGGGCATGGTATTACCTCCTGGTAGAGGAAGAAGATAGGAAAATTATAAAAACCAAAAACTAGCAGTTTCTCAAACTGGGTCATGACCCATTAGAGAGCAGTGAGTCATTTCAGTGGGGTAACCGGCACATTTGCAAGGGGAATGAGAAACAAATACCATCGTACGTCCTGTGTGGTAATACTAAGTACTCTCTCGTGAAATTTTGTGCAAGTGCGTGTGTTTTTTTACTGTGTGTCATGATCAGACATTTTGAAAAATACATCTTTATTGTATGTAGGGATGTATTTCAGATCTTATCATTTTTAATACAGCGTTTCTAAAACTTTTTTGACACAGTGATACCTTCTGCATTGCAAACCAGTATGCACACACGCCCGCGTACCCACACCCACAACTAAAACGAAGATTCAAAAAACAGTATTTACTCTTGCTATGTGCAATATATTCTGACGTTTTCTATTCCAGTCTATTCTATTCTATTCTAGTGTTCCACTTTTCTGGAAATGCTGACCTGGCCTAATAAATTTATTTCACAACCCACTAATGAGTGTCCAGTTAGAACTTAAAAACACTGCTTTAATAGGCCTGGTGGGCATAGCTGTTCTGCAGCTCACAGCAGAACTTGATGATCATAATGAGGACCCTGAGTCACCAAGAAAAAGTTCAATCATGGATCCCAAATGCTATTTAAAGTGGCAGAAACATGTGTGGTTCATATTAGAGATGTTTATATTCTCCAAATGGTTGACATAATAAACAAAGCTCTGGATCTTCGGGGAGAAGCTAGAAAATTCTCTTGTGTGGGATCCCTGAGGCCAGTTAATACAGGTGCTGCTCTATTTGCTGAGTGGAGGGAGACCGGGCAGATCTGATTGTGGGGTGAGAGGCTTGTGCTCTCTTTGGAGAAGATGCGTTAACTCTTTCCAGGAAGCCAGCTTCCCAGGAGTGAATTACTTCCCATTGTAGCTAAATGGATCCTGCTGGCCTAAAAAAAAAAAAAGCTTAGTCATTTCTTCCCTGTCTTGAGCATAAATGGACCAAATGGATAAATTGGTTATATACCTTCATTAGGTATATAACTGAAATTCTCCTGGGGGGAAGGTCCAGAAGTGGTGTTCTCCCTGCAGAACAGAGAACACATTGATCCCAGTTGGAGGTCTTGTTCTAAAGAGGCTTTTCATCACCATGAATATAGGTCTAGGGGAAATTCAAGGTCAAAGTTCCTTCCTCCTGTTGACTCTGCTTCTCAATGGCTGCTTTTTTCTGCCCTGGGCGTGGAGCCTCAGGATTACTTTCCAAAACCTACCCAGTGGCCTGATTCCAAGCATCTATGATGCCGCGGCATTCTACACAACCAAGGGGCATAGCCAGGCATTCAGAGTTCAGATTTTTTTATTATTATGGTAAAATATACATAACATAAATTTCACCATTTTAACCATTTTAAGCATGTGGTTCAGTGGCATTAAGGTCTATCTGCATTGCTGGGCAATCATCCCCACCATCTATCTCCAGAACGTTTTCATCTTCCCAAACGGGAATGCTCTACCCATAAACAGTGACTTTCCATTCCCCCTCGACCCCAGCCCCTACTTTCTGCCTCTACGAATCGACTGGTGTAGTACCTCATATAATCATATGGACCATATAGTATTTGTCCTTCCATGACTGGCTTACTTCAGTTAGCAAATTATCCTCAAGATTCATCCACGTTGTAGCGTATGTCATAATTTCCTTCCTTTCTAAGGCTAGATAATACTCCCTTGTATGTACACACCACACTCTGCCTCTTTGTTCATCTGTTGGTGTTCATCCCTTTTGCCTAGTGTGAATAATGCTGCTGTGAACAAGGGTGTCCAAATATCTCCTTGAGACCCTGCTTTCAATTCTTTGGGCTGCGTACCCAGGGGTGGAATTGCTGGATCTCGTGGTAATTCTATTTCGCATTTTTTGAGGAACCGCCACACAGTTTTCCATAGCAAAGATTTTAATGTACTCTATCATGGGGCGCCTGGGTGACTCAGTCAGTCAAGCGCTTGACTCTTAATTTCGGCTCGGGTCATGATCTCAGGGTCGTAAGATCGAGCCCAGCTTCAGACTTCATGCTCAGTGGGGATCCCTGCTTGAGATTCCCCCTCTCCCTCTGCCCCTCCCCCACCCCCGCCCACGCGCTCTCTCTCTCACTCGCTCGCTCTCTCTAAAATAAATAACTAAATCTTACAAAAAAATAAAAAACTCCATCAGGGGGGGAGTTTAGAGAGATATAAAAGTGTAATTTTCATATTTTTAAGTTGGACTATCAAGACAAGATTCCTCCTAATGACGATAGCAACCACAAATACTACCACCTCCTGCGCACTGGGTAGGTACAGGGCTGTCTGCAAAGTACCTCTTGTGCATTTTCTCCACTATATTGTTGAAGCCTCTTTAAAACTCTCTGAAGTAGGGGCGCCTGGGTGGTTCAGCCATTAAGCGTCTGCCTTTGGCTCCCTGCTCAGGGGGAAGCCCGCTTCTCCCTCTCCCACCCCCCTGCTTGTGTTCCCTCTCTCGCTGTGTCTCTCTGTCAAAAAAATAAATAAAATTTTTTAAAGATTTTATTTATTTGAGAGAGAGAGAATGAGAGATAGAGAGCACGAGAGGGAAGAGGGTCAGAGGGAGAAGCAGACTCCCTGCTGAGCAGGGAGCCCAACGCGGGACACGATCCCAGGACTCCAGGATCATGACCTGAGCCGAAGGCAGTCACTTAACCAACTGAGCCACCCGAGCGCCCAAAAAAATAAATAAAATCTTAAAAAAATAAAAAACTCTCTGAAGTAGATAATGCAGCGTCCAAAAATGAGGCCCAGGGAGGGTCTCTGTCGGGTCAGCAGACATAGCAAATGTGGGTCAGAGAGGCTAAGCACTTGGCCACGGCCAGGAGTGTGAGGGTCTGGACTGGAGTCTACACCATCTGATTCCACAGCCCACAGGCTTACTGCCACCATGCGTGCCTCTTACCTAATCTCTGTCTTGCATTAGATTCGTCTTCCGTTTCAACTCTTTTTAAGTCTGCTTATGTACATAAATGGAACAAGATCCCGGAAGAAACCAGGGGTGCACCAATAGCAGCCCTCACTCAAACCTCTGGGTGCTGGTGTCCCTGGCTAGTGGAGATCGGGCTAGGACACTGGCAGCATCTAGCACGTGACCCTGACCGTCAACCTTCTTAATCTCACACCTCTGACTCTAATGAACTGCTGAAGAGTCTGGTGACATTTTTATCTTTTAATAGATTTTATTTATTTAAGAGAGAGAGTGCATTCGCACAGTGGGGAGGGGCAGAGGGAGAGAGAGAATCTCAAGCAGACTCTGTGCTGAGCATGGAGCCAGTCGCGGGGCTCAATCTCACGACCCTGAGATCAGACCTGAGCCAAAATCAAGAGTCAGATGCTCAACCCACTGAGCCATCCAGGCGCCCCAAGATCCTGATGATATTTTTTTAAATGGTTGGATAGACTAGCCCCCAGCACAGGCCCTGGCACTTACACCTAAATGCTTAGCCAAATTCTGTAGGAATGAAGGAATCCGAGAAAGAATACAAGTGTCCTTCACACAAACACATGACCCAACAAGGTAGTCACCCTCTCCATAAGGCCCCTATGCCCTGCTTCCTGGCAGATTCGACCATCTGGTGGCAATAGAACGGGCAGGAAGGGCTTCCTATGGCAATTACTATAACACGAGGAAGATGAACATCAAGCACTTGGCTGACCCCATTGACGACCCTTTCCTTGCAACACAGAAGATTCCTGGAATCTCATCAACTGTAAGTAGGGAGCACTGAGAATTCAACAAGAATGTGTCAGCACTAACTGCCTTTTTATTGACTATGCAACACACGACAAGAAAGAGTTCCATGGGGACCGTAGTTTTCTGGTCCAGAGATGTTGTTTATTATGGTTGGTATAGACCATAAAGACACCGTCACTTAGAAATCCAACATTCCCACAAGCAAGAAAGGGAAATGCCGCCTAATCGAGCGCGTTCTACTCGCCCAGCTCTAAAATATTAAAACTAATAACAAAATAATAACAATAATAAAATTGAGGCATGGTATATTCTATTGGTCATACAGGACAAATGTACGATGTATACTGTGTTTCATCTTATGAATGCATTAATTTTTAAGTATAACTTCAATACGTGATTAATGTGATATTTTGATTGCTAATAATATAATAATGTGACCCTTTGTGTTTGTACAGAACTTTATCTTTTTCAAAGAGGTTGCAAACACCCATATATTTTTGAAGCGTCTTTAAAACCCTGGCAAGTAGATAAGGCAGGCAGAGTGTCCAAAAATGAGCCCAGGATGTTCCTTGAGGTCACCTAGCCCATTAGTGTTGCTGGTAGAATTAGGAGTCCAGACTCCCAGGACCCCTTTCGACATGCTTTTCATGGAATCATGTTGCCTTAATGAATTTCTGAAAGGTTGATACAACTCCCAGAACAGCGTTCCCCTCCCCTGGGGGTAGGCATACACCCTCGGGTAATGAAGGCAAGTTTCTTGTTCTGTGTTTAATTGTTCTCTTCGTTCAAACACTTCAGAGTGTTTCCCAGACTCATTAGTCACCTTTGGCTTTTGAGGTTTTGATGAGACAATGAAAGTCTTCCTGGTTGAGAAGAAAATTTCTGCAAAGCGCCTGGTCTTTCCCAGAAGAGGCCTTGGGTGTGGTACCCACAGCACACTTGGCATCAGCTTCCTGTGTCTCTGGGCTGGACAGGCTGAGGACTTGAGGGCTGGAGGAAGGAATGGCCAGAGTGGAGAAGGAAGGGGTCTCCAAGTCAAAGGGGCGATCAGGATCCAAAGGAACTGTTCTTCCCCCACCACATGGACCCCCAATCTTTGCTGATCCCCCCAAGGATGCCCCCAAGACCCCAGAGGAAGCAGGTAGAGCTGGCTGTTTGTGCCTTCAAACTGCTCCCTCTGTGGACCTCTGGAGACTTCTCTTACCCTCAGGAGCACAGGCTTCTCTTGTGGTCCCTACGACCCCCTGCCCAGCAGGGCCACCCGTCTTTTCTCTCCTCTGCTCCATCGACACCCCATTCCTCAGTTTCCACAGGCAGCTGGCTTGTCATGGACATAGCACTGACCTTCCACTTAGCACCCAGGTCCCACCCCTCTCGGAGACCCTGGGAGTGCCCTTGAGTGAGGAAAATCAGGCCACGGGCAGGACTGCCGTGAGGAGCAAACAAGACGAAATTCATAAAGTGCAAAAGAGCAGAGACAGAAGTAGACAAACACCAATGTTAGCTTTGATATTATTCCCCTTCATTCAGCCGGCTGTTGTGGGTCTAGAAAATGATGTGTGTCCGTTCATCTGAATCTGATGAACAGGTGGCTCCCCTGAGAAATCCTCAGGGCGTGGGCCTGAGGCACCAGGCCATAGCAACCGTCTGCTTCTTTCGGCTGCGCCTAGGTCTCCGGTGCTCGAGGTGGGGTAGCTCTAGTCCCGTCCACCACCTCACAGTGAATGCTGGCTTCAGGTGGATCTCTTCCACGCGTAGAAACCCACACAGAAACAGCCATGCAACCGTGCCTTGGACCAGGGCCTTGGGTGAGCCGTAATCTTGAGGCAGCTGACCTCTGACCTACAGAATCTTCCAGAAACATCGGGACACAGGACCAAATGGTGCTCCTCCAGCACCACCCATGAGGGTGACGGGCTGCAGGGTTGGCTAGATTTTTTTTCATCTTATGCCTGCGAGGCTGGAGCTGCCTGGTAATTATTTTTAATCAACTCACCTGTCTTCAACACCATTCATTTCACCGGAGAGTTAAATAATTTCTAACACTGATTTATTCTAACATGTTTGTTCTAGCATTTATTATGCGAATCAACAAACCCTCAGGTGCTGACGCTCAGACTGGCCTTTAGACCTGGTCTCTTTCACATGCTAACCAACTACCACTGTGGTTTGTATTTCTGATTCGGCTACTTCACAGGGTGCCAGGCACCCTTCTGGTGTAGACGTAGATGAACTGACACACATATATTTCATACCTTTTCACCAGAAGCCTTTAAAGTAAATTGGCCTTAACCATCTTTACCAGTTCCCCGTCACACAGATGGGGCTCACGGCCTTGTAGCCCATCCCTGAGCAGGAGCCACACCCCTTCTCCCATGGGCCTGGTAGCACCAGCATAGGGGGTGCCCCATCTGTGACTAGAGAGCGTGACTCAGTAAGGGACATGGCCACACACTGGTGAGTTCCAAACTTCAACTCACTTTTAACGAGACAAGTCTCTAGAAGAACTGAAGGAGAAGTACATTTCCTGTACTCCTCTACCTGAAAATAGACCTCAAGCCAACACTTTTCCCCTCCCTGAGGCATCACAACACATGTGGAGGGGCTGCCCTGCCCCCAAACCACCACCCTCATTCTGCCCGATCCTGTACACTGACTGACTCACTTCCCTTTCCCTTCAGGAGTTGGTGACGGGGGCAATGAGCTTGGGATGGGCAAAGTCAAGGAGGCTGTGAAGAGACACATACGCAATGGGAATGTGATCGCCTGTGACGTGGAGGCTGACTTTGCTGTCATCACTGGTGAGTGCTCAGATGGCAGGCCAGTCAGGCCCGGCTACCCAGGAGGAGGGACCTGGAGGCCTGGAGCCTATCCGGCCAGAAGCTCCCCTCCTCTGTGAGTGGAGTCTCCAGGGCACCAGGGCAAGAAAGGGACCCGGTTCTCAGCCTTTGGCCTCTCATTCAGTCATCCAACAAACATTGGTCCTGGAGTTAATGTGGCAAGGGTCGGGCTCCCCAGGGCAGACAGACAAGGAGCCCTAAGAAAGAAATACACCAGCTCATGCTAAACAGTGCTAAGAGGAAGATGGAAGACAGGGACAGGCAGGCCACTTTAGATCAGTGGTCAGGGAAGGCCTCTCTGAAGAGGGGTCATCCATGCTTTCCTCTGTGCCTCCTGCAGGGTGGAAAGGAAGAGAACAATCTGGTAAACGTTTGGAGGGGGCAAAAGGCTTCCCACCTCCCTTCAAACTTAGCTCTGCCGCAGGCTGCCCTGTCCCTCCCTTCCCCATCAGGACCAACCTTTCCCATGTCCCAGGTCCTTTGAGGCCCCAGGTCTCCTCCCTTGACTGCACCACAAGTTTCAGGGATTTTGACAGATACCCAAGGAAGGCTCTCCCATTTCCTCCTCAAAACAGAGCCTGTAGATGAACAGAAATCCCTGAGGGGATTAGTGCTAGGGTAGGAAAACCTGCACCTGATGAATGGCTGGAGGCTCAGCGTGGACAAGTTTGAGAGTTCAAAACTCCAGGGGGCCCCGGTCACAGGGGGACCCCACACTTTTGTGACTTCTACCCCCATTAGCTCTACTCAGTCCACACCATGGATATCAGAGAAAAGTCCCCTTGTGCTTTAGGGGGTAGAGGGAAGAAACCATTTTGAAATATATCAGAGCCCTCCATCCTTTTTTTTTTTTTTAAGATTTAATTTATTTACTTGAGAGAGAGAGAGCGCGCGCACAAGTGGGGGGAGGGGCAGAGGGAGAAGCAGACTCCCAACCAAGCAGGAACCCCCTCCACCCCGTGCAGGGCTTGATCGCAGGACCCTGAGATCATGACCTGAGCTGAAGGCAGCAAGCAGCTCAACCCACTGAACCACTCAGGTGCCCCCAAGAGCACTCCATTCTTAACAAGGCCTGCCCTCAGGAGAAACCGTTTTACCAGAGCCTAACCTACCTGGGGGAGGGAAATACCCAAAAATAGTCAACATGCAACAACAGATGACAATATAAGCAGAGACATGGAAAATCTAAGGAAAAAATAAAGAGATGTCAGAAAGCAAAAACACTGCAACAGAAATGAAGAATGCCTTTAATGGGCCCATTAGCAGCCTGGACACAGCTGAGAAAAATCACCTCTGACCTTGAAGATTTGACAATAGGAACTTCTAAAACTAGAAAGCTAGGAGAAAAAGACTGGGTGGAACAGAATAGAATATCCAAGAATTGTTACGTGTAATGGGAATATCAGAAGGAGAAGAAAGAAAGGAAGAGAGGCAATATTCAAAGCAATAATGACTGAGATTTTCCCCCTAGATTAATGTCAGACACCAAACCATAGATCCAGGAAGCTCAGAGAACACCAAGCAGGATAAATGAGGAGCAAAGATAGGAATTACATCCAACTTCTCCTCAGAAATCACACAAGCCAGTAGGGTGGCATGAAATATTTAAAGTGTTGACGGAAAAAAAACCACCAACCTAGAATTCCGTGCCCTGTGAAATTATCCTTCAAAAGTGAAAGAGAAAGAAAGAATTTCTCAAACAGGGCATTTGTTGCTAATAGACCTGCCTTGCAGGAAACATTAAAAGAAATTCTTCAGGGAGAAGGATAGGTTAGAAACTCAGATCTACACCAAGAAGGGCATTGGAGAATAAATAAATGAAGGTAAAATAATCTTTATTTTTCTTGTTCTGAATTGATGTAACAGATAACACTTTGTTCAAAATAATAATAGCAATGACTCTTCAATTATGCTCATGTATACAGGTGGAAGACAGCGATCATCCAAGAGATGGGAGGGAAGAATGAGGAATATTTTGTCTAAGGTGTTCTCCCTAACTGTGAAATGGTTGTTTGAACGTGAGCTTGGATTTGTTGTAAATGTATATTGCAAACTCTATGGCAACCACTAAAAAAAATTTTTTTTAAAGAGGTATTATTGATATGCTAAGAAATGAGAGAAAATAAAATCCTATGAAGTGCTCAATTAAAACCACAACAGGCAGAAAAAGGGTGGAAGACAAAAATAGGAGAGAAAAAAGAGCTAGGGCAACAAACAGAAAACAGTAAAAATGTGGCAGATACTACTACAGCCATATCACTAATCACCTTAAATGTCAGTGGTCTAAATACCCCAATTAAAAGGCAGAGATGGACAGAGTGGATAAAAAAAACAAGACCCAACTATAGTTGTCTGTAAGAAACCCACTTTAAATATAAAGACACACATTGATTGAAAGTGGGTGGATGGAGAAAAATACACCAGGCTAACAGTAACCAAAAGAAAGTATACATTGCTATATTAATCTCAGAGCAGACTTCAGAGAAGGGAAAGTTATCAGGGTCAAAGGGGGCAGTCCATAATGTAAAGGGGTCAATACTCCAAGAAGATATAACAATCCTTTTTGTTTGTTTGTTTTTGAAGACATAACAATTCTTTTTTTCAAGTTTTATTTAAGTAATCTCTACACCCAGTGTCGAGATTACACAACCCCAAGGTCAAGAGTCACATGCTTTTCTGACTGAGCCAGCCAGGTGCCCCAAAGACATAACAATTTTTTTAAAGTTTTTATTTATTCATTTATTTTTAGAGAGAGAGTGTGTGTGAGCGTGAGCAAGGGGAGGGGCAGAAGGGGAAGGAGAGAATCCCAAGCAGACTCTGCGGGGCTCAATCCCATGACCCCAAGACCACCACCCGAGTGAAAACCAAGAGTTGGACACCCAACCAACTGAGCCACCCAGGCGCCCCAAGACATAAAATTCTTCATGTGTATGCTCCTAAAACAGAGTGTCAAATATGTGACAAAAACTGGTAGAAGTACAAGGAGAAATGGGTGTATCCACTCTAATATCTATGGAGACTTTAATAGCCCTCTATCAGAAAGGGGCAGATCCAGTAGGCAGAAAATTAGTAAGGACTTAGTTGAAATCAGCAACACCATCAACTAACTGGAAATAATTGAGGGGCACCTGGGCTGCTCGGTGGGTTAAGCATCTGACTCTTGACTTCGGCTCAGGTGATGATATCAGGGTCATGAGATCGAGCCCCGTGTCGGGCTCCATGCTGGGCGTGAAGTCTGCTTAAGATTCTCTCTCTCTCTCCCTCTTCCCGTCCCCCACAACCCCCTCCCGTGGCTTGCATGGTCCTCACCTGCCTCATTCTGATATATGCCTTGTATTTATGTGCCACACACCTTTGTACTCACTGTATGTTTCCATTTTTTTCCTACCTGAAATGCCCCCCACTCTCCACCCTTCCTCTGGCAAATCCTGCCCAGCCTACAAAGCCCGTGTGAAATGACCCCTTTTCTGTGAATTTTTCCCAAAACAGGCAGGATGAGTGGCCCCTCCTGAGTGGTCCCATCATCCTCTGTGAGCACCTCCCTCCCTCCCTGCTGTGCGCACAGGCCCTCTCTCCCCTGGGTTGGAGTTCCTCTTCGTTTTTTAACTCTGACACCTAGAATCTAGCAGGTCCTTAATCATTCCTTCTTCAGTTGAATGGAGAACTCAGGCAGGTTTCAGACAAAAGCCAGTGAGGTCGTCCCCAAACTGGGGAATAGGCACCTTGGGGCTGGCTGACTTAGGAGCGTTCTGCAAGCAAGGAAGAGGCGATGCTGCACAGTCAGCTAGCTCCTTGTAGGACCAGCTTCCACGTAGCAAGATGGATCCAGGTCAGCCACACAGAGTTTCTTAATGTCGGAAGCTCTGCAAAGGCTTCCTAGGGGTAGAGTCTAAATCTTCTTCTCTCTCTCTCTCTCTCTTTTTTTTTTTAGATTTTATTTGTTTATTTGACAGAGAGGCACAGCGAGAGAGAGGGAACACAAGCAGGGGAAGTGGGAGAGGGAGAAGCGGGCTTCCCGCTGAGCAGGGAGCCCGATGCGGGGCTCGATCCCAGGACCCTGAGATCATGACCTGAGCCGAAGGCAGACACTCAATGACTGAGCCATCCAGGCGCCCCTAAATCTTCTTTTCTGATGGTCGGTCAGTCGGTTGGTAACAGTATGTAACCCAGTTGGTTTAGAGCAGTGACTCTCAACCTTTAACTTGAATCAGCATCACCTGGAGAGCTTATGTGCTCCCTGTCTTCCTGCTGAGTTTCTGATGAAGTAGGTCTGCACTGGGGCCCAAGAATCTGTTTCTCAAAAGTTCTCCGGTGCCATGGGTGCCACTGACCTTGGGGCCATTCTTTGAGATGAGTTCTGCTGCTTAGAGGCAGGGTGATGGATGCCATCACCTTTCCACTTCTATGATAGAATCTTTTTTGTTCTAGGTGTTTCTAACTGGGGAGGCTATGCCTTGGCCTGTGCACTGTACATCCTAAACTCATGTGAGGTCCACCAATGTTACCTAAGGAAGGAAGTTGGGCCCTCCAGAGTGCCCGGGGAACAGAACTGGACTCAGGCCCTTCCATCCGTTGCCAAGGTAACACACCTAGCCGGCCACGCCCCGCGTGAGGCCTGTTCCAGGCTATAAGCCGAGGGTTCCTGGCTATAAACCAAGGGTTCCTGGCTATAAACTGAGGGTTCCTGGCTATAAACCGAGGGTTCCAGGCTATAAGCTGAGGGTTCCAGGTTATAAGCCGAGGGTTCCTGGCTATAAACCGAGGGTTTCAGGCTATAAACCGAGGGTTCCAGGCTATAAGCTGAGGGTTCCAGGCTATAAACCGAGGGCCAGCACCACACTGCTGCCTGTCAGCAGCCAGAAGCAGAGCCTGCCTCTGTAGGGGAGCAGAATTTGCCACCACACAATGTGGCTCTTTGGCATGTGAATTATTTTAGGCTGATTATTTTAAAAAAACAGAAGGACTCAATGACTCTGCCATTGCCTCTTTGGGCCTCAGTTCCCACGGCCCCACCCACTGACCCTGATTCCAGACTCAAACCCACCTCCTCATCCCCTGCTCCTCCCAGAGCCTGGAGCACCTTCTGGCGGAATTGTCCAGAGTAATTTGGATCATGAGAAATTGGCGCCAAAGCCCTGATTTTATGTCGAAATCCCAGGCCTGAAGTGACTTCCCCGGTGAGCTGCAGCTTCACCTGAGCTTCCCCTTCACCTGAGAGCAGGCGGGAGGCTGACAGGGCTGCAAAGCCTGAGAATCAGTGGAGGGAGCTGGGGTGTGCAGCCTGGAGGGGGGGAAACTGGGGGGCCTGAGGCCTCACACCTGAATGGCGTCCTGGGGGAGGAGACAGACCACGCCCTCGGCCATCTGAGAGACAAAAGCTGGCTGAAGGGCAGAGGTCACAAGAGCAGACTAGGCTTCACCGATTCACTGAAAGGAAGAGCTTGCCTTCTACAGAGCTGCCCAACGCTGCTGCTGCTGTGAGGAGGAACCCTCTGACAAAGGCCCAGTCAGGGCTGGGGGAGGGGTTCCCGGGCTAGGTCAGGCTGGGCCACTGGCCCCACGACCACTCCTAACCAGTTCAGAACAGTCTCCTGCAACTTCCAGCCTCACTTTCCCAGTCTGGTCCCCCAGAGGTCTAGACTGCTAAACGCAAAACCAGGAACCGGGTCTTTTGTGTCTGCTTTTCCAGCAACCAGCAGAGGGAAACAGGGTGCTTGGTAAATTCTTGTAGAATGAATGAATAAATGAATACACGGATAGATGGATGGACGCAGTGCCTTGTTAGGGCAGCAGTTCTCCAACTTCAGAATCACCTCGGGGGCGTCTTAAACCACAGAGTTGCAAAGCCGACCCCAGGCTTCCTGACTCAGTTGGCCTGAGGTAGCCTGGACAAGCAGCATCTCTGACACATTCTGGCTGACCACACTGGGAGACCCTGGATTAGAGGCTTGGTCTAGGGAGAGAGAAATGCAGTCTGAGGGCAGGAAGGTTCCTGAGCGTTGAGCCTGGACATAGCAGCTTGGATGGGGGGAGTGGTTGTGATGAGTCCCCAGGCAGCCAGTGGCTGAGGCCCAGAGCCCCTCACTTTTGAGAAGCAGGTGCATCTTCTGAGAAGCAGGTGCATCCAGAGCCCTGTCTCTCCCTCTGTTTCTCTGTCTCTTTCTCCCTCCTACCACCCCGTTTCTCTCCAACACCTCTCTGGATTGATGTTGTGCCCACTTTACAGATGAGGGAGCTGGGATTCCAACAGGGGAGGTGGCTTGCCCAACACACCCAGCTAAGAGGTGGCGCTGGGACCTGAGCCTGGGTCTCTGACTCCATTCTCTGGGCTCTTTCCATGGCTCAGAAGTTTCCCGGTTCCTGGTAAGGCCAGGGTGCCATGTGGGGTGGGGGGGACTAGAGCGGCTGAAGTGACATTTTCAGGGGAAATGGTCTGCCCCAGTGGGGCCCAGAGGGCCTTGGGTGCTTTCTTTGCATTTCCTGGATCTGCACTGGAAAAAAAGCCTCAGGGGGCTGCCTCACACATGATTCCTGATTCACACAGACACCAAAGAATGAACCCAGCCAGACAAATTCATACAACCCAAACAGTTACCCTCCAGGGATGGAAAATTCTCCTTTCGGGTTTCCACACAGTCCTTCATAAATACATTAATAATGTATCACCCTTGTAAGGTAAATAAAAGGGAACATTTTCAAAGCAAAAGTATAAGCACATGTGTGTTGAGCCACTCCTCCGGGCCAGGCCAGCTTTGCTCTGGGAGACAATGAGGGGTCAGACCCAGCCCCTGAGTAGGGAACTCGGGATCCCCTGAGGGATGGAAGATGGAAGGAACTCGGGATCCCCTTCCATGGAAGATGGAAGGATGGAAGTGTGCAGGGCAAGCTGCTATGGGGACAGAGAACAGGCCCTTAGCTCACTCCGAGGGCTCAAGAAAGGCTGCCTGGAGGAGAGGGTACTGTGCTGGGCCTTGGAAGGTGAGTAGGCTATAAGTAACCAGGTAAGAAAGGGTGGGAACGGCCTCCAGGCAGCAAGACCCACAAAGCAAAGGTGCAGGCACATGAAGAAATGCAGCGTGCAGGAGAAAGAACTGGAATCATCATACTAGGGCTCAGTAGGTCACTCCCTAGGCATCCCTGAGTCATGGAGAAGTGCTGGGCAGAGCTGTGGCCTGAGCGGATGGTGCAGCTTGATTGGCTAGGGGGGTGAGGAATGTTCCTCATCTCTGCTCTGTGAGTTGCTTGTAAGCGGGGCCTCCCGTATTCAGGGGTCTGATCTGATCTTGACTGTAGCAGGTGTGGGCACCATGCGGAGGATCCCAGGGAAGGCAGCCGCCACCATCTAGGGCACACCCTGCCCGCTCCGGGCTTTTGCTGTGCCCAGGAGTTCTGAGGGCATTCCTCAGACCTTGTCAGGGGCTACGAGCTGCTTGATGACACCTTATAGGAGGGACTAAGGATGGACGGACGGACGGACGGACGGACAGACGGATAACACAGAGAGGCAGGAACATGGTTTCCTCCTGGGCTCCTGTTCTCTCCCAGCACTGCCATCCCACTCTACTTCTCTTTCTAGCTTTGAAACACTGAGTTACATAGAATAAAGACGTGCACAAGCAGTAGATGAATTTTTACATATGTACACATCCATGCAGCCAGTGCCGAGGTCATGACACAGAACAGTTCTAACTTCCCAGAAGGCCGCTTTCTCCCATCCCACTTCGAAGAGCGCCATCACCCTCCCATGAATACCAGCCTGCCAGGCTCCCCGTGTGAGCCCCAGTGACCACCCTCACGCTCAGCCTCCAAGCCCAGAAGTCATCTGGGCCTCTTTCCCTGCTCACGATGCACTGGGCCCCAAACCCTGTCCTTCCTGTCTCGCTTCAGGCCTCTGTCCTTCCTGTCATGCCACACTGTCTCCGCCTGGCCTCCAGGTGTTCTGCCTCCAGCGTGGTTCTCCTCTCCTTCTGTCACCTCCTCCACTTGGTGGGGTCTCTTGGAAGATGCTGTGGCGGTTCAGTGATTCCTGGAAATTTGCAGGCAGTCCCTGTTGGTGCAGCTGTTCCTCGTGGCTCTTCTAGAGGCTGAGTGCCAGCCCGTTTCTAAGCTGCTGATGGATCCCATGCACCCTGGCACCCCAAGGTCCTCCCTGGGGCCCAGAAGGATGGGAATGGTGCCAGCAGGCAGTGTGCTGGGAGGAAATGCTCCCCCATCCCCACTCCCAGGTCCCAGAAGCAGCACTCCCCCATAAAGATAGGATATGACCCAATGGAGAGAGAAATGGAAGAATAAAACCCAAACAAAGGTCAGGAAATGGCATTCTGGGCTGGGCAGCCTCTGGGAAGGGGCTGGTGGACAAAGAGATGCCAGGAAATGCCCTTTGGGTGCAGGCTCTCGGGCCAGCTGAGAACAGAGGCGGTTCCCATGTGACCTTTGCCAGCACGTTCTCCATTGTTTGGACAAGTTCTCAGTGAGTGCTCCTCCCAGCCCCTGGCTTGGCTCATTCCTGCTCTTTGGTCACCTGTGGTCCTAGCTGCCCCTCCTCCAGAAAGTCTTCCCTGAGCCACTCTGATAAATGGGGTGGGGGATGCCCCTCCCCTGTGCCGTGACCCCCACACGCCTGCCTGATCACTCATCTAGACCGTGAACCCCCCGGGGCAGGGACCGCGTCCCACTCACCACTGTCTCCCTGGTTCAGGGCCTGGCACGTAGCAGGTGCTCAAGAAAACTTTGATGGGGGATGGGATGAATGAGCAGGTGCCCGGGGAGGAAGGTGAGAGCCCTTCTCAGACCCGTCCTAACCTTCCTGTTGTAGAGTCCTTGGCGTCCTCCACCCATTCCCCCTCCTCTGCTGGTGGAGGAGGAGGAAGAGGAGGTGCCGGACTTCCTCCCCTCGGGCACCATCCTCTCTCCTTGTGTCTTCACCTAAGACCCACCTTCCTCAGGGGGGATCAGAACTTTTCAACCAGAGAGAGACGCATAATGGGCAAGTGGACAAGGAGTTCTTTGGGACCTTACTTTTGAAGGGAAGAGAGGAAGAGAATCGAATCACTTTTAAAAAAAATCAGCAAGTATGTCAAAGGAGAAAAGCCCTGGGCTAGAGGCCAGGGGACCCAGTGCTGCCGATAATAACTTACCTCATTTCATGAGCACCTCCTGTGTGCCAAGGACCACACTAGGTGCTTTATTTGCATTATCTAATTTAATCCTTACAAGAACCCACTCAGGAGACATTATTACTATTAGTATCATCAACATCCCCATTATACAGATGAGGACACTGAGGCACAGAGAGGTTAAAACACCTGCCAGGAAAGACCCACGTCAGATCTGTCTGATCCCAAACCCTGCCTGCTGGGCCCAGGATCAGGCTGCATTTTGTGCAGGGCTCTGCTCCCTCCAGAGCCTCCCGCATCCACACTGGAGGAGAGGACACCTGCAGCAGGGGATGGGACATGGCCCACACTGGCAGATGACCGGAGCTGAGCAGGGGCCAGGTTGCAGGAAGTAGCCCACGCTGTGCCCGCAGAAGTGAATCTTTCGGGTTTTTTGAACGGGCGTTAAATGCAGTTTTCCATCAAAACCACATTTAGTTACATGACCATAATTCCCAGAAGAAACACCCCAAACTGTTTGAAGTTGCTGCTTCTGAGGAGTGGGTGTGGGGCAGACGGGGCATGATGTAGGCCACCTATTCTTCATGGTGAGTCTCCCAGTGGCATTTGTATGGTTACGCGAAATTTTATTTTTAAGAAAGAGACCATGCCGAGTCAAACACTCTTCCTCCACTTATAGATGTATGCATCTCTTTCTTTTTCCTCCCCCTCCACCCCTTCTGTCTCTGTCCTCATTTTTTTTCCAGGAAGAAAAGTTGTTGGGCATCCTGGCGCGGCACAAAGTTCGGAGTGGAGTCTCGGGCGTCGTGGGCATGGAGGTGGACAGGCTGCCCTTCCACGGCACCCACGCCCAGATGATCCGGAAGCTGGTGGATGTCGCCACGGTGTGTGTGTGTGACTGTGCCTGTGGACCACATACCAGATGGCCGTGCCTGGACCTCGGGAGGAGTTCCCCGAGGGCCCCCGGCTTCTTTCCACAATGGCTGTGCACATAAACACTGGCCCTGGGTGAGCCCCGCCCGGGACCCTGCAGGACCACTGCCTGGGACGGGGCCATGCGGATGATACAGACCAAGGAGAACGTTTCTTTGGGGTTTTTTCTTTTCTTCCTAAGTGCTTAGAGGCTTTGATTTCAACCCTCCTCCTCCTGGTTTCTTCAGGGCACCCACACGGTGAGAGTCGTCTGACCAACCGCGCATGGGGACACCCGCAAAAATATTCCTTGCCAGGCAGACAGAAGAGCAGGCACGACCAGGGCCGTGAATAATCCTCCAGGCTAACTAAGAAATAGTAAAATGTACAAATATGTAGTGTCTATTTACGAAGCTCTGGGACTTTACCACCAGCACCAAAATATTTATACCTCTGAAATGCTTTCTTTTTCAAACAACGTTTTGTTTACGTGGGCCTTCAAACCTTACATTTATCACCATCACCTTCTGTCTGGCCCGCCCCCTTCACTCCCACAGGTCCTGACACCCCCCACCCCTAGGAGCCTGACACTTCTCCCACTCCCTCCCCATATGCTCAGCCCCAGCCCAGAGCCGGAGGCTTTGGCCTCCCCATGTAGGAGGGCAGGCACACTCCTGGAGCTTGGGGGTGGGGGGTCTGGATGGTGTTGGGCTCAGGTGGCTCACAGGATCCTTCTGGACAACAGTAGTCAGCTCGCCCGCATCTCCTTCACAATCTTCCACGGCACATTTCCCAACAAAATTAGAAGCAGAGTCACTGACCAGATCCCATTACACTCCTGTATCGAACGAGGACGGTATCCTGTGCTAGTTCACGGCTGAGTGATGGCTGACTCATCCAGATGGAAGAGACCGGCTTCCCAGCTGCAGCCCCAGATGCTTATTGGGACTGCTTCGTTTTATTTCCTTAAGCATGTCTACTTCAGTTCTTTAAGGGACATTAGTTGTAAAGCGTGGAGCACTTGCTACTCTAAATTGTCTGCTCAACAGTAGCAGTTAAAGCCGAAGTGCAGAGTAAGCAATCAGGGATTCACTTCCAGTGCTCCCTATGCCTCGGCATGGCCAAGCCCCTGGCCGGAAGCAGCCGGGTGGGGACCGTCCAGACCTCCCCTTGTCATTGTGGCCGGGAGTCCCCACCTACAGGTCTGTGCTTCGGCTGGCGTGGGCTCAGGGCTGATGCGCTCATTGTGATGAGCTCACGCTCCCTCCATCTGCAGCTCCTCACAGCTCACCGAGTCCCTCCCGGCCCCAAGCTTCATGGGCCGGGGATCCTCCAGTGACAGTTTTGGTCCCTGACTTGCGACTGCAGAGCTCCATGTCCTGCGGGGTCTCTGAGAGCACCCCCTGGTATTTTTGAAGTCTCGATGCCTAGGGGAGAGAAAACCTCATGTCGGTAAAGCTGCCATCACTCCTCTGATTCATCTTTTGGGGGAAGACACTAATGGGCTTCGGGTTTTGCAATAGTAATAACAGAGTTCTGTTCTGGCGTGGAGCAGTTTAAGGCAGGACTGTGTAATAGGTTATCTGTACTGTGGCCAGAAGTTTATGGGGAGATGAAGTTGTTTGGAAAAGAGGCCAAGACCCGGGTGGAGCCCAGAGAAGGCTGAGAGTGGGGGTCCTCACTCTGGAGTGAGGCACCCAAAGGCCCCTCTGCAGGGAGAAATGGTCAAAGGTGCAAGAGAGAGCCAGGAGCAGACCCCTTAGCAGGGTCCAGCCCAGGGACCACTGGAGCTCTGAGCTCCAGGATCCGGTTTTCTTGTGTTTCCATTCTGCAGTAAGATTCCCGGTCAAGCCTTCAGTCAAGTTTTGCTCAAGTTCGTCCTCTTCTCAGCTGTGTCCACGTCTGGGGTAGCACGGTGAGCATGGCTCTGGCCTGGAGAAGCCAGTTACAGCGGGATAAGAGTGTCCTATAGGGAATGGCGGGGCGGCCCAGGGGAAGAGATGGGCTGGGCCACCAGCAGGATGGATTTGTGGGGCAGGTGAACATCTCTGGGCATTTCCAGGAATGTTAGGAGGGCTCCTGGCAAGCTGGGTCTGAGGTGCTCTTTGGGTGTTCAAGGGCAGCCTGGAGATGTTGGGCACACCAAAGAGCACAAGCCCTGTAGACCCTGCAGGAGGTGGGACTCAAAGGCAAGCCAGCCAGCTAATGGGGTCAGGGTTCCTTAACGCCCCCGCTGTCCTCTGGTCAAAGGCCATCCCATTGCTCATCTGGGCAAGACATTCCTCTGAATTCATTTCCTGCCCCTCTTTGAGCAGGCCCTGCTGACGGCCAGCCCCAATCCTGGAATGACTTATCCTGGTTAGTAGCAAATTGGTGTCATTAGCGGTATCTGTTCAGAAACTGGACCATCGTTTGGGGGGGGAGGGGATATAGCTGGGATAATTCAATGGAGAAAAAATTGGATATCATGACCTCTATGGTACATTCCAGCACTGCTATCTAATGTCTAATCTAGCACTGTCCTGATAGTTGTTGAATTAAAGCAGATGGAATTGAAATCCTACCATTTCTCCTGGTCATTGGGTACCATTGTGACCTCAGGGTGATTGCCATCAAAGGCCATTGTCTTGCTAGATGAGTTCCAGGCATGGAGGCTATGGGATCACCAGCTTCAAGAAGCAGGTTTTTCAGAAAAGCACTGAACCAAGCAGACCACCTTCTGGCTCTCTTGGTTATACCATTCAGAGGAAAGCAGCAGATGGGGATGTATTCTGTGCTGAAAATTTCTCCCACTCTTGTCTGGCCAACCCACAGACCAGTGTATATAAACAGGAAGATGAGCCCTCTTCTTGCTAAGCAACACTGGTGAATAAGAAAGGAATCTAGGGGCGCCCGGGTGGCTCAGTCGTTAAGCGTCTGCCTTCGGCTCAGGTCACGATCCCAGGGTCCTGGGATTGAGCCCTGTATCGGGCTCCCTGCTCAGCGGGGAGCCTGCTTCTCCCTCTCCCACTCCCCCTGCTTGTGTTCCCTCTCTCTGTCAAATAAATAAAATCTTAAAAAAAGAAAAAGAAAAAGAAAAAAAACAAAGGAATCTAATGACTCTGTCACCTTCTGTCCAAACCAGATGGGCCTTTTCCTCCATCCATTCTCTCAGGAGAGAAAGGAGTCTTAATCCTCAATGATGTCTTCACTTAGTCTGTTTGGAAGAAGGATCAATTCTTGCAGAATTCTTCAGGACTCCAGGAATCTGACCCAGAGAAGGATTAAGTAACCAAAACCAAATCTACGTTTTAAAATTATGCAGTTGATCTTGAGCAATAAACATGTAGCCTGTCACTATTAAGAAGATGCTAAAACCTAAAAGGGCTGGCCAACAAATGTGAGCCTCCCCAAACAAAGCCCAAGCAGTGAGGAGAGCCCCAAGAGATGACTCCAACAGGTCTTTCTACTTTGGCAAGCTTCGATAATGAGGAGGGTGGTCGGTCTGATCAAGCCTTTCCTCACTGTGGGGAACACACCCTGGAGAGTAGAAGGGATCATGTGTCCAAGGACAGAGTGATATTCTCCAAATCACAGGGCTGGACTCTGTCCTCAAAAGGGAGGGGGCCAAATTAAGTCCCAGAGTGGATTTGCAACAATGTGCTAAAGAGTTGAAGATACTTTATGAATCTCCAGAGGAGGGAGAGAAGACCCAACTTCACTTGAAGGCTCCATCCTTTTTGGTCACTGCTGGGTGACCAAGGGCAAATGCCCTCATTTCTCTGAGCTTTCTCTAAGAAAGCCAATCCTGACTCTGCTGGGTATTTCAAGAGCCCTCTAGATCCCCCTGGTGTTGAAAGATCCTCCTTCCCCATAAGGACTGCAGCACACTCCAGCTGTGGCTGGCTACTTTGCTTTATTTGCAGACTCAAGTTTGCAATATAAATCCTTTGCACAGTCCAACACACACATACTTGGCATAAAAGAGAAGACAATACAAAAATACAACTCTTGATAGTAAAAGGAACCGCCCCCAGCTCATCCCAGTCCATCCCAGCGGGAATGTCCATGTTTAAGGTCAAAATAGGGGGAAATTTGGGGTGAGGAGGCATGGAGGCCTCAACCAGTGCCATCGCCCCAGTAAGATTCTGGGCTGGGACTGGGTAGACTCTTCTTGGCAGTGTGGCCATTTCTGCCACCTTCAGATCCGGTCACTTCCTCCTTCAGAAAGGGGAAGAGAGGCACCCCAGGTTATGGGAGGGCCTCCACAAGGAGCTAGAGTAGGGCTACCCTGTCAAAGCCAAAGCCACTTCCAACCTGGGGTATCTGCCTCTGGGTAACCCTGATTGGAGGGTAAGAGATTCAGGATAAATCTGCCTCTTAGAGAAGGACGGGAGGAGAGGGGAAGAGAGATTGAAGATATTCTCCTTGGCCCTCCTTTTAGCAGATTCCAGAAATGTTCTGTGGATGCCAGCTTGTATCTCCCCATCCCTGGTCCCTCTCAAGGCTTGAGTCCTCCTAGCCCCTTGGGTGTGGGGAGCTTGAATCCAGAACTCTGAGGGAAGTCAGAGCTGGCCCCAGCCCACTGACCAGGAAATCTAAAGGGCTAGCATTTCTGCAAAGGTGGCCAGATCCTCGGAGCAGCAAGAAGTTCTTCTGGTCCTTGGTTGTGTTCACCAGGGTGGAGGCTCAACATGGTTGGGCACCAAGTTGTAGGAGGGATGAGAACCGTACCGAGCCTTCTGGGACAGAAGATGATGGCAGAGAGATGGCCGCCAGTACGCTGGGCTACCTGCGGCCCCTGGGGCCCACTATCACTCTCCAGGTGGAGACATGGGACATCTGGCAAAGGAGCAGTGCTGCAGAACAAAGGGGCAGGACGAGCCCAGGGGCCCCCTCCTCTCCTTGTCCTAGGGGCTATTGAAACCGTTGTGGAGTTTAACCCCAGGCCTGTGGGCTGAGAGATGCTAGAGAAGGTGTCTCTGTTTTGCTCTGTTGTATCTGAGAACACGGAGAGCATGTCACGCTCCTGAGACTGCTAGACACTCCACAGGGTGTGTGGCCGGGGACGGTACGGGGGGCAACACCACCAGCACTCACATAACCCCAGCCTCAGTGTCTTGGCACAGAGCTCTCATGGAGACCCTGGCATTTTAACGCACGCACGCACACGCGCTCACACACAAGCCCCAGCTTCCGTGCCTGGTGCTTCTGGGCAGATGGAAACAGAAAACTAGGAGGATTCTGTGTGTTGGGAGCTCTGTCCTGACACGGAGCTTTCAGTACTGCCTGTTTGAAAGGACACAGGCATGGCCCCAGGGAGCCCCGGGGAGCCCTGGGGTTTGTCTTCTATCAGTCCCGGGGCTGGGGGAATCCGCTCAACTCTCCCTCTGAACGTGAGACATGCCTGGAGCTGGGGTCTCTCCTCTCCTGTCACTCCCTTCACTGTCCCCCACCATGCACCCCCGGCGCCCAAAAGCCTCCCACCTCCCTTCTCCCCGACCGACCTCCTCCTGGCAGGTCCTCTTCCCACAAACGGGTGGGTCCCGAGCGATAATGATGACAACACAGCTTCATGTGTCATGTCCCCAGGAGGCACTGGTGCATTTGGAGAGGTGTCATCCGTGACAATGGCACTGGAAGGTCCTGGCACGTGCGCCCCCAGGTGCCCCACCCTCGCCTCCCCCCAATCCCTATCCTCCATGTCCTCACACTCTGCACACCCCCCCCGCCCCCGCAGCCTCCCTTCGAGAACCCCGTGGAGGTGACAATTGGCCGTCTTCCCCTCCCCAGAAGCCCCGCCCGCCCCAGACAACACCCAGGAGCCAACGGGGCTCATCCCCGGCCGGGCCCAGCGAGCTGGAGTGGGCTCCCCGGGACCAGAGGGGTCCTGCCGCGGGGCGCGGCCCCTGGTTCCCTCCGGCAGAAGGAGGCACCTGCCCGTGGCAGAGCGGGGAGGCCGGCGGCGGCAGCCCCGACGGCGAGCTCGGGCCTCACCTGGCCCCCCACGGCGAGAGCCCGGCTAGGCCAAGCCACCCGCGGGGGACCCCCCGGCTCCGGGCGAGTTCGGGGTCTGGAAGGTCGAGTGGAGCCTGGTCAACAGCTCGGGCTCGTCGCTTTTCCCCGAGGCCTGGGCGGCGCCCAGTGGGTAGGCCTCCCGGGCGCGGCCGGGGCCCGCGCAGCTGAGGAAGGCCAGGCAGGCCCCCCGGAGGCGGCCCAGGTCCCGGTGCGTGGACTCGCTTACGAAGCAGTACAGCACGGGGTCGGCCACGCAGTTGAAGCTGGTGAGGAGCAGGGAGAAGTGGTAGGCGTTGAAGACGGCCTTGGCGAACTGGCAGCTGGCCTCCCAGAGGCTGCGCACGAGCAGCAGAGCGTGGTAGGGCAGGAAGCAGGCCAGGAAGATGACCACGGTGCTGAGCACCAGCCGCTGGATCTGGTCCTTGCGGCTCTTCTGGGTGCCGTGGCTCCGGCGCACGGCCCGCAGGATGCCCTGGTAGGAGGCCAGCAGCAGGCAGAGCGGGAAGAGGAAGCCCACGAGGAAGCGGTAGTAGTTGATGCCCCGCTGCCATGGCTCCAGGGGGTAGTGCTCGAAGCAGACGCGGTGCCGGTCCCCGTCCTCCACCACCTCCTTGTGCATGAGGAAGTAGACGCTGCTCAGCAGCTCCTTGGCCCAGATGAGCGCGCTGACGGCCACGGCCGCCTTGAGCGTGCGGAACTGGTGGAAGCGGAAGGGGTGGGCCACGGCCAGGTAGCGGTCGATGGAGATGCAGCAGAGGAAGCCCACGCTGATGTAGATGTTCTCGTAGAGGAGGATGCCGCACACCTGGCAGGACAGGTCCCCGTGCGACCAGTGGTCGTGCTGCAGCACGTACTGCAGCCAGAAGGGCAGCGAGCAGATGTAGAAGAGGTCGGCCATGGTCAGGTTGCACAGGTACACGCCCAGCTCGTTCCGGGCCTTGATCTGCAGGTAGCCGAAGTAGAGGGACAGGCAGTTGGCCGGGAAGCCCACCACCAGCACCACGATGTAGACCACCGGGGCCAGAGTCTGGTGGATGGTGTGGTCGATGGCGCACAGTGAGCCGTTCTCCGCAGTGACGTTCCCCATCTTTGGGCCTCAGGGCGCCTTGCCCCTCACAGGCTCAGAGAATGGGCCCGTCCCTCTACAGCCATCTTGTTCGCCAGGTGTGGCTCCAGCTGTATCAAAAGCTGGGCCTCCTCGGTGGTGGCTAAGCCCCTGAAAGGTAAAGGCAGGAAAGGCTTAGGATGATAGCAGCTAATGTTTATGTAGCGCCTACTGGGTGTCAGGTACCTTTCTAAGCGCCTCACTTAATGGAGAAGTTTGGACCAACCTCAACTCAGCTCGACTATCTAGTTGACTACCTTGGTCACGCACCAAGACACTAAACGGTGGTTTGTGTCTCCCTATCCCCACTCCCTGGCTTCCTGTCCCTTATTTATTTTCCTGGTCTCTCAGGGCAGCAAGGAAGGCTAGGAGCTCTTGTGAGCACAGACTCATCCCAAGCCCTGCTCTCCAAGGGACGCTCAAGGTAAAGATCAATTCCAACCCGCACGTAACAGCGAGGGCCCCGGCCACTCTCCCTCCGACAGCACTATGCATCATTCACAGTTTTCCTACTTGCTCCCAAGAATGTACCAGGTCAGTTAGCACTGAGGCCACAGCCCCTTCTGGGGGCCTTTCCAGACAGCCCGGAAGGGGCCCAACCTTGACTCGTCCTATTGTGCTCTGACGAGAAACAAAGACCACCCTTCCCACAGGGCATTGCCTGGATTCCTGGGTGCTCATCAGGAGGTACTACTTCACCTCCTCTCCGTGGAATTGAGGACCCAGCAGAGGGAACAGCACAAGGAACCAACAGAAATGAGTGCCAGGCCAGGGTCAGCCGCTTACAGGCTGTGCGAGTGATTTCCCCTCTCTGAGTGTCAGCGTCCTCATCTGTAACGTGGGCGCAGAAACACCTGTCCTCGGGTCAGTATCAGGGCCACGTAAAACGACGGATGCCAAAATCCACGGCATTGTTTTGCCAGAGGCAAAGAGGCAGAGTAAAATATGGTAAGTCTTAACATTGGTGAAAAGCTCATATTGTTGAGAATTTAACAACAACAACAACAAAAATGCTACTGCTATGTGTACAGATACATTTGAACAAGATAGAACAAAGATTTCTGTTGTAAGCCCACTTTATAAATTAATATATCGAAGCGAAAGGCCTGAGCTACTCTACTGATTGAACTCCTCCGGCCCCACTGAAAAATCTCACTGTTTCTAAATCAGGACTTCTAATTTTTTGTTCGTGTAAGAATCATCCTCCTAGAGAGCCTCATTAGCCACTTTTTTCCCCTGACCGCCCCCTCTCCGTGAAATTTTAATACCCCAAATATATTGCACATCTGTTTGTGTACTGTGGCCCTTTGAAGGGTGACAAATCTTTGTAATAGCTAAGATTTTTTTTTCACCCCACTCAAGAACCAATTTCACCCCCTACCTTGAACAGGTACAGTCTATATGGTTGTAAATTCTGAACGAGTAAGGTTTGAATTAAGCTGTTTGGAAGTATCAGCAGATCCATCCTGCCCCTTGCATAGTCTCTCCACCATAGTCAAGCTGCAACTCAGGGACCCAAAAGGGAGACCCCTCAGAGTGTGCCGGGCAGCCACCTCACCACCTGCTGACCACGGACCCTCCCTCCACCGCCTCACCACTGCAGCTCTGTTGTGGCTCTTGCCTGGCCCCGTGGCCCCAGGAGCCAGGGCTCAGCCTGGAAGCGGGTGCAGCACGCAGGGAAAGGGCTCAGAGACACCCAGCCCAGCAGTTCCAGTCCTGGGGTGCATGGAGGGTAAACTTGAGGGATGCCCCTGCAACCCCCTGCTCAATCTTGTAAATAAGTAAGTATGGGCATTCTTCCTGGGAAAGTACCCTGTAGCCTTCTTAAGGGTCTCTAGACGGGCAAGAGATGGTTCTACCAAAGCTACCCTCCTCACCTGGGCTCCCTCCCCCACCCCAGCTCTCCCATTCGTCCCCCGCCCATGACCCACATGGAAGCACAGTCCTCCTTCTAGAATATAACCAGGTCCTCTTCTTCCTTGCTTAAAAGCCACTGAGATGGCTTCTTATCACACCTACAGTAAAACCCAAACTCCTGATAGGACCTACAAAGCCCAGCGTGATCTGGCCCCGGCTCCCTCGGCCTCGCCCATCACCGCCATGCATTAGCCACAAAAACCAACTGTCTGTGGCTCAGGCCTCAGGCCTTGGCTGCATAAGCCATTGTCTCTCGGGGGAGCTATCCCCTGCCCCCCCCTCCCTCCAACCTCCACCTCCACGGCAGGGCTGGCTCCTTTTCTGCAAGATCTCGGCTGACCACCCCACAGAAGCAGCCCCCTCCCCGGCCACCCTCACACCTCCTGCTTGACTGCTCCTCAGAGCCCCCAGCAGCATCCGAGATTGCTCTTGTCGGTTAACTTGACCGCGGCTGCTGATCTGTCTCCTCCACGGGGATGTGAATTCCAAGAGGCCAGAGGCCAGGTGCGCCTTGAACTGTGCCTGGCACTTCACAGGCACTCACGAACACTTCTGGGAGGAATAAGTGAATGCCACTGCCCCATTTCACAGGTGAGGAAACCGAGGTCGCCTGAAGCTGGACTGAGGAAGGAAGCCTGGGTCTCCCTGCTGCATGTCCCACCTCCCTGCCTCCTGACAGCCAGTCCCCAGCTGAGACTCGCTCCCAAACTCTCAGTCTCCAGAAGACGAGGACGCCCGGTCGGGGTCAGCTCTCCATCCTACATAAGCCTGGAATCTCAGTGATGGTGGTGGAGGGGAGTGCTTCTTGGTGTTTTTAATGGTGGTTACATATATATATACATAACATACAATTTACCACGGTAAGCATTTTAAAATGTACAGTTGATTAGTCACACTGTCGTGCAACCAGGACCACCATGGGTCTCCAGAACTTTTTCGTCTTCCCAAACTGAAACTCTGTCCCCATGAAACGCTAACTGAACTCCCCATGCCCCTCTGCCCCCACCCCAGGCCCTGGCACCTCCCGTTCTCCTCTCTCTGTCCCTGTGAATGTGACTATTCTGTGGTCCTCGTCCAAGAGAAATTGTTCAGGGTTTGTCTTTTGGTGACTGGCTTATTTCACCTAGCAAAATGTCCCCAAGATTCATTCATGCTGTAGCATATTGCAGAATTTCCTTCCTTTTTAAGGCTGAATAATATTCTATTGTGTGTATTTCCTATATTTGGTTTTTCCATTCATTTGTCAGCGAACACTTGTTTCTGCCCTACCCGTCGGCTTTTGGGAATAATGCTGCTATGAACGTGGATGTACGGTTATCTATTCGCGTCCCTGCTTTCAGCTCTTCTGGGTAGATACCCAGAAGTGGAATTACTGGATCAGATGGTAGTTCTATTTTTAATTTTTTGAGGAACTGCCACTCTGTTTTCCACAGCAGCTGCACCATTTTACATGCCCACCAATGGTGCACAAGGGCATTTTCTTGGGTTTTTTTGCTTTTTGTGTGTTTTGGTTTTGCTTATACGTTTTGATGGCGAGAAGAAGGGGAAAGGGGCAGCCGAGGCCTCTGACCCAGAAACTCTGCCCAGTGTGTCAAACTGTGGCTCCGTTCACCTTCCCCTTGCCAGCTTTCCTATCCCCGAATCCCAAGCCCACACCTGTGGGGCCAAACGGTTCGGCTGGCTTCCATACGAGAAGTGGACAGCAGTCCAGGGCCCCGAGCCGTCCCCAGGAGCACGCACCCAGGGCAAACGAAGCCATAGCGAAAAACACATCCTGTCAGGTCTTAGGAATTCACTGACAGTCACCAGGCTGAAGCCTATTGTTTACTAGCGGTGAGTGTATATCTGTGTGGGGGGCAGGGGTGTGGGGGACGGGGCGGCGCTCGGGCAACGGCGGCGTGTCCCTTCCTCTTTCCTAGGCCAACAATAATCGAAATCTGGCAACCAGAGTCAAAAATATTCAAGCCTGCAGGGCAAAGAAGAAACATTTACTATGTTTAGATTAAAGCACCTCCTACGTTCCCTTGTAGCAAAAAGGGTGTTCTAAGAGCAGTGGTTTTCAATTTAGGTACATTAGAGTGCCCTGGAAGATTTGTTTAAAACAGATTATTGAGCCTCACCTTCAGTGTTTCTAAGTCAGTGGGTCTGAGGTGGGGCTTGTTCCTAAGGTGATGTTGGTGCAGCTGACCCACAAAGCACACTCTTGTGTAGCAAGGCGCTCAAAGGTCTGGAACGTCTGGGATTTGGCTCCTGATAAGTGGCAGGATAAGCACCCAGATAACACGAGTTCCCAAGCTGGGGAGCAGAGGTGGCTGGAAGGGAAATTTAGGACCCAGCAGGACCTCGTGGGCAGAACCAGGATACAGCCCATGCAAGGTCAATAGCCTGATTCAATCTCTCGACAAACAGTGACTGGATCTGTCGGGCTACTTACACCTCGTATTTGCAAAATCTTTTACAGTTTGCAGAGCATTTCATATCTGCTCTCCCCCATCTTCACAAAGGCCCTGTTATTTCCCCCATTTGAGGGATGAGGCAGCTGAGGCCCAGAGAGATGGAGTGGCTTGCCCAAGAGTCCAGTTCCTCTGCGTTTCTCCCACCCTCAAGGAGCCTCCAATCTCACAGGCATAAATTTCTCTCACCTGGGGGCAGTGTACGGTGGTGCTGTGAGCATCCCTCACACTCACATTTAAAGTTGGTTTGTTCTTTTCACACGACACACATCCTCTGGGGGACAGCATCCCTCTCTGGTTTCAACCCCATCTGCACTCTGACGACTCCCAGACCTCCCACCAGGTGGACGGTGGACGTAACCAGTGTCCCGCTGCCTCACCAGACATGGTCAGTCAGGCCCACCCCACTTCCCTCATTTCTGCATGAATCTGCTCTTGGAAGGGGCATCTCTACCTGCCCAGTTGAAGGGCCTTCAGCTTCTTTCCTCATCTTCATCCAAAGCATCCAGTTAATTACCCAGTTCTACCATTTTCAGCTCCTAAATATTTCCCACATCAGTCTCTTCCTCTTCAGTTTCCTCACCAGTGCTCTAGACTGGCTTGGTCAAGACTTCATCCCCAGAATCAGTGCAATGGCTTCCTATTGGATTTCTTGGCTCCATTTTACCACCCTTAAGGCCATCCTCTAAAATACAAATCTAACATAATCATTCCTACTTCAAATCCTTCAATGGCCCTCCAATC